ATAGCCCACAGTTCACATGAAATAATTATACATTATACAAAGATGAAATATGTAGGAGAGAAAGCTGATTGATAAAACCTTCCTCTTGCACAGCTGACTGTCTATGGTGGAGTGGATATCCATGACCTAATTTGAAAGACTGTTGCTTTTAGGTTTTGAGATACCCACATGACAGTCCCACCAAGACCCTGTGGTATATTTCCCTTCTGTGGTCTGAACCCTTGATGGAATAACACAGTTACAAGAAACAGCAGAGATTAGACCTCCCAGAATCTAGAGGATGCCTTCCTAAGCATTGGGGGCTCTACAGATCTTCACAAGATCTCTTTGCTGTGTGGGGATGACGTCTTCTCTCTGTATGTCATACATAGCTGTGAACAGTCAGGGTATTTCTCTGATCTTTGTTGATGCAACCCTTCTCAAGGTCATATCTGTCTTGTCCATCAAAAACCCCTCAGTCACCTAAGCTGCCTTTGTCACCCCTCCCAAGAGAGGCCCCTTCCAAGTACACTGGGGTGAGATCACTTCTTCACCCACAGAATTTTCTGCAATCATTTACCTGAAATAGATCCATGACTACCTTTTCCTGAGCTAAATCCTGGTCCACTATAATGGGCTCTGCTGCCCTCAAAACTAGGTCACAACTGTAACCATGACAGTGACCCACATGTGAGGTCACAGAGGCCAGACCTCACTCTGTCTGTGAAATCTCAAAGGGAGTTGATGCCCACAGATGTCTTTTGGGCTGGTACTTAAGGGAAGTACCTGAAGGCTTCCCTTAAGATCATTTTTCATTTACGAGCTCATATTCCGTCTTTCTCCTCCAGGCAACATCACCCCTGGAACCAGCATATTCAGTGGGGAAGGGTCATATTCAGCCCTAAGGTGCACAGTTCACCTCTTGGTGTCTCATTTCTGCTGCTCAGTTTATCAACAAATTTCTCTTGTCATGAGATTTTAAGTGTCCCATCTGCAGGATTTTCGGTATCAAGCTGATGGAAAATGTTGATGTGCAACCTCTCCCATCACCACCTTTAAACAATTTTTGCAGGAGGATTTCCCAGAAAATTGACAAAATTCCCTCAGATATACAGATTCAACCACAAATTTAGTAACACATGGTTCATAAGTAAAAGTTTAAGTTTGAAAATAAGATGGAGCGAGTATGGCATCAGTGTTTGTGGCTAATCTGGGAAGGGTCTTCAAGCTGAATATATAGATGTCCAGGAAGGTTCATGTCTATGGATTCAAGGGAAGCATTCCTACCTGTGAAGCAAGTGCTCCCTGTGGGGATGTCACTAACAGGTGGGTAGTGCAAGTAGTTATCTTTAGCATTCTCGAGGCTCAAGCCTTAAGTCGTAGACTATGCACTGAGTTGACACTTTCTTCAGAGGCCTCTCTTCATTAAATTTTAACATACAATTTAAATTTAAATGTGGATAGCTTGGGGAGATGGCTGTAGTTGTGTTTCATATTGTAGCCCTGACTTCGGCCATGCTGGTTACAACCCATAATTATAAACGATTAAGGATCTTGCTGTGAAGAAGCAAAGTCCCTTCAGACCTCTGCAGTAATGACTTTGACACGTTACCCACAATCCCTGACGCTGTGGGCTGCCATAGCTGATGGTTGTCCCTGGCTCAGGCACAATAGCATAGCTTCATTCTCTACCAGCCTGGAGCCTCAAGTCTTCTCATGTGATACATGCTGGGTATGGACATCTCAAGGCCTCATTCTTCAGTGAGTTGTGGGTGTTGTCTTCCTGAGTCCTTGTTAAACTAGTTCTTTGTAACACATCTACAGATACTTACTGCAGCTTTTTCTACAGCTATAGCACAGGTCCTGTTGAAGGACCATATTTTGCCTCATATCCTTCATCATCCCTGCCTCCCACTATAGCACAGTGAGGTTCAATTGGGCCTTCATCCCAGGAATCCTGTGTATATTTCTCCATCCACAGAGGCTAAACCTTCCTCTAAATACATCAAGTGAAAACGTGTATAAGCACAGATTTATAAAGGGGAGTACCGCCATGGTGCTTCCTGTAATAGTGACATTGGTGTCTATCCCCATATTATGGTACCTGTCTATCTTAGTACAAATGAAAACATTGCTGCCACCAGGGACTAGACTTCTCAGGGAAGATCAGACATCACTGCCTGGGATACTTTGCCCACACTCCCCGAACAACATACGTGTGATGATCAAATGTGAATTTACAAACTGGAACCCTCCTTCCTTCTCACCAAGTCAGAGGCTGGAGTCCTGGTCCAGATCCACAGGTGTGGCTTCATCCCAAGTTATCTCCCTCTGTGAGTGGAGGGGTTCCTCTCCATGTGCTCTCGAGGGGCCAGTCCCACTGCTATGAGACTTCTGACTTCTAGTTCTTCTTAGGATGAGCTGTACTCAGGGTGGGACATTTCAAGTACCTCGTTAGGTTTCAGTGTCTCCATTTAAGATGTAAATAAAGAAGTGCCTCAAACTGAGTGAGTCACTCACCTGATTAATTTCAGATAGGTTGCATCACAGAAAACAGCCCAAAACCTACCCAGTCACATGCACTTGCTGTGACTCAAGCCCTCCTTCTGGACTCTGGCTTGTCCTCAGGTAAGACCACAGGCATCACTAGGGCAGGGTTCTATCCTGTGAGGTCACAGAGGCCTCACCTACCTTATTCTGAGAATCACAGGTCATCCAGACCTCAGTTCTCTCCCAGCCTGACCTATCCTTGTTCTTTACCAACCTAGATGCAAACATCCTTGGAAGCACTTAGCTTTGGGAAAGCAGCTAGCAGTGCCTTAGGGTTATTTCCGTGAGGATCTATTACATTTCTCTCCTGTCATTCCTCCATCTTCCCACAGGTACCATCACCCTTGAGAGGAAGAACACAGTTGACAATGCTGCTTTCTCAGCTCAAATGTCTGAACTCACACTCTGCATCATCATCTCAGGTTCTTCATGGGCACCATGGTTCATTGCTGGCACTCAGCCTGTGGGGTACCATCTTCTGCCCCTTCTACCTGGTTCCAACATTAACCTTATCTTATTGTCTACCTAACTCTCTGCATCATTAATCTTTTAGCTTGAGTTTGGTTGTGGGTTATTAGCTAGTGCTTGCCTGGCATTCCTGTGGCCCTGGGATTTAGAATGAACAGCACAAAAATACATAGATGAATAATGAATAAATACATACAGCATGGATGAATCACTATAGAGTCGCAGGCAGAGCCCACCAAGTGAGGTACAGAGACTCCTGGAAGCACCTGCTTTTCCTTGTCCCATTATCAGCTGAACTTTCCCTCAAAAAGCTGTGTGCAAGAATGGCCAAGCTGTGCAGAAATGTGCCACGCCCTTTGTCCCCATGTGTGTGCATGTCATGCAGTGGTAGGCAGGCTATGATAGCCCTGCTCTGATGTGGGACTCTTTGTCAAGTCTGTGCTTCCCCTGCGTTGCAACTTCAGTCTCTCAAACACCAGGTTTCCAGTGTTTCTCACGAAGGGATGGTGGACATAAAACATGACTGACACCAAACAGGGGGACTTCTGGCCAACCTGGTCATGGGGCTACCATGCATTCTGTGTAGACTGGAAATGTTGTAAGGCTCAGACATTAAGTGTGAAAATCTTGAAACCTTTGGCTGAATTAGCCTGGCTCTATCCTTGGAGACAGAAATTGAAGCTCCACGCATGAGGATGGTTTACGGTAGTCCCACTGTGTTGACAGTTGATGGCTGCTGGGGAAGGCGAGTCAGCTTTCTTTAGGGTGTGGCATGTGGAGGTCAAACATGGTCCAGTGGATGCCACACCCATGAGGACGTGAGTTGTACAAACTGGATTCAGTGGGTTATAAAGTAAAAGACAGGACTTGGGTGTGGGGTGCCGCAGAAGGAATTGGAGGGAGAAGAAGGGGAAATATGATGAAAATAAATTGTATACATGCATGAATTTCTGAAAAATTAAAGCATTTTATATGCATTTATATTTAACATGTATATATTTAAATTTTATGTATATAAATGATATATACATACATACTTGTGATATGGAGTACATGAGAAACTTTAAAACATTATATTCTATTAAGTATCAATCCTTAATAATTCTTAATAAGAGAGAAGATATATGAACAGTTGTCCTCATCCCTAAGATTCAGTTGCTGTGTTTCTGAAATGTAAGAAAAATGAAGAATCTGCCTTACGTTAGAACAAGCAGAAACCAGAGTGTCTGTAGGCAAATCATTAAGGGTCAATGTGGGAGGGTACAATGGCTTAAACCCCAAAGCTGGACTCTTCCCAGCAGTGCGCACTGGATGCTTGGCAGCAGGGGAAGTGGTTCAAAGCAGAGGTGAGGAATGAGCTGAGAGGGATTACTACCCAGGCCCAGAAACAAAGACGCTCATGATAGAAAATACTAAGCTTACGTTGAGGATAATGTCAGCATTACCATTTAGGGGCTCAGAATAAGGCAGCATGGTGGTCAAAGATCTCCTGAAGCACAGACAACAAGAGAGGATCCCAAAGAGAACTTTCAGTGTCCTAAAGAGCTGGCAGTCAGGCTGGGAAGCAGGGAGATTTCCCAGGGAATGCAGGCATGGGACAGCCTTGGCAGCTGCTCAGGTCCTGAACCTCATCTGGAATTGAGGAATGAGGAAAGTGGTTTAACAAATGCATGAGTGGAGTCCCAGAGGAGGAGGGGAGAGAGATCAGAACAGATAAATTGTGAAGCCATAGTGCATTGAAGGTATATACAGAACGTAAACAAATTAGGAAAGCACATATAGTGTTAGGTAGGAGAGTGAAGCCATCTAACTGTCTATTGACGCAGAGCTCTCAGGCTCACGGATGGAGAATGCCCGCGTGGGAGCAAGGAGACGTGACTGTCCTTAGTGCTTAGCACAGGTCTTTCCACACAGTAGGTCTCCATACACATTCACCCTTTGAAGGAAGAAGACGAAGTTGAGAACTACAGACTCATTCAGAGCTGGACTTTGCTGTGAGGTACCTGATCATCTTGGTGCTGGGGTTGTATCTCGAGACCATCACGGTGCAGGCGCCACAGCCTCTCCCTCAACAGCCATACTTAGTGCCTGTGAGTCGGACTGGAAGAAGCTGAGTTAAAGATACTGTATACTATGGTTTTCTTTCTAGAACAGTCCTTACTTAGGACACAGCATCATCACAGACACACACAGGAAAGTTCAGTGTGGATTCTCCAACGGCTGCTACCTAAGTCTCGTGGTTTCCTGCTTCCTTTTGTGCGTTACAGTTTGTGCCAGCCTCTGTATGAAGCTGGAACACTGGCTGCCAAAAGTAGGACCAGACTGAAGAAGGGTCTATGCATGGAAGTGTTTGAAAATTTGCAAACACACAGACTTACACTTTTTCACACACTCACATTCCTCCCAAAATCACACACAAGAATATACAAATACACACTCAGACATGCAACCGTCTTCCAGATGTATGCACTCACATGTTTAGACACATATGCACTCACAGACACTCAGAGAATCATAGACTTAGCACACACAAATGCACACTCTCACAACATACAGCAAAGGATACGATTCTTCCTCAGGTACGGCAACAGCATCATTTCAGGATCAACATGCTGCTCTACCACCTGTGCAAGAGAAACACAGTTACACACACAGGAACAAGAGCTTGTGTTAGTGGAGACAGAAACGAACCACGCCCCCAAATACACAGACTAAAGCCGTAGACACCAGTGCCAAGCCAGGCAAGGCTGTGTAGCTAGGCACACTGAAGCATCTGGGCTGGCAGACAGTCTGCTGCAGCCACGGAAACAGGATGGAAAGTCAAGGTTCCCTGGAATTCTGCTTTCTCTACTTTGATTAAATTCTTTAAAATTAATGTTTTAAGTTAGTGCATCAAGCAATGGATTGGTGGCATTTTTATGTTATTTCCGTCCTTCCTCTCCCCACTGAGATCCCCCAGCTGGTCCTCTTTTCTGCTTGCATGTCCCATGGCATTCATGGAACAGACAGCATCATGGCGTCTTCATATAGTCACAAACCCTAGTCGTCTCTCTTCATGTTGTGTTACTCTGTCCCTCTGGGAAGGAAGGAAGAGAAGGAAGAGAAGACACACACCCAGTGCTGACTCCTCCTGCAGCTCTACTCGGGCCCTTGCTGGAAAAATCAAGCCCTTTTTGAGGAACATGCAATACACAAGACTGCATGGCATGCGCGCCCATACACACACACACACTCACACACACACACATGCGCCCATACACACACACACACACACACACACACACACTTTCCATAAGATGAGCTGAGTCCTCAGACAAACTTCATGGCAGCTCATTTACTTTGCTCTCTTCCCTCTTTTCTCACAACAACTCACAGGCTCACTCTAAGAACATCTAAGGTTTGAATCCTGGCTTATTTCTAAACTTTCCTTCTGCCCACTGAAATCAGTGACACCAAGTTCTGCTCCTTGGAACTGAAAATGATTCTTGGCTACACTGCCACCAGCAACATGGAGCCTGCACAATTATAACAGAGTCTCAGCGGTCTCTGCCTCCTGTGAGCCTTTCCTGCAGGAGTGACAGCTCTCAAACCCCAGTCTTACCATCACCTCTAACTGCATGCCACCAGGGAATCCCTGAACCAGCCAGACTCTCATCATGACCCACTGTTCCACCTGGAATCAGGATTTCTTGGAGAGCAGCCAACTTCAGTGAATTAATGCCAGAGTCTCTGTGTTTGAGAACTTAAACCTCCTGGCCCCATGTCTTTGATAAACATCAAGCTGACTTAGGCCATGTGAACTCAGACAGTGCACAGACTTTTAACTTTAAATGTTTGCACTCATAGTTCTTCTCCTGCGGAACAAGAAGCAAAAGCCAGAGGCCTGCTGCTCAGGTCACCAGAGCACCCTGAAGGTGTTCAAGGAGTCCGAGCAAAGGCAGATCCGAATCACAGAGACTGGCTTTTCACAGGGACCTTCTCTCCAGTGGCTTCTCATGCTTCTCCGAACATCCCTTCACTTGCTAACCAATGGTGAAACACATGCTTACTAACATAGGGAGGGACACAAATGAGCAGGAAATGCTAGCATGATGTTTGCTTTGGTGAGGTTAGGGAGGGGACAGTTTCAAAACCTAAACCAGTATTTCTAGAGTCTACTTTACAATCATGACAGAACATTTGGCCCCAGGACCAGGTCCCCAGCGGTGCCAGCAGTGGGACTAAGAGATTAAATGAGTCTTCAGGTAAGAAATGGCTCTTTATTCTTAAAAATCAATAGAGCATAAGGTTTCACTACTTGTAATAATCTCCTGTTTGGAAGCAGGGGAGGGAGAGAGTGAGAGACTGCAGACTCAGCAAGGTGGCTGCCTTCCTGAACTCAGCACTGAGCATCACCTATAAGGCTGCACTCTGGCCCCTGGCACTTCTGCAGCTCCAACAGTTGTTCTCTGGGGGTGGGAGAAGTCTCCTGCCACAGGACCTGTGCGCCAGGTTTCTCTGCCCAAAATGTTCTTTCTGCGTTACATACATTGCTTGGCTACCTCATCTCAGACACTGCTCCAATGGCCCAGCTCTGAAAGTCCAAACCAACCCATTCATCTACCCCATGAGATCCTGCCCACCTCACATTGTTTCTATGCCAGCAACTGTCACTGCCTGACACCACACTCTCTCCACATATGTATACCCGGGTTAGCTGTTACCCCAGGACATGTCAGCTCCACACCAGCCAGGCCTCATCATTTCTGTGGTTTGCTGTATCCCACAAGCCAAACACAGTTTGACATATGGTAGGCTGTGAAAAAAGCATAGATTGAATATTGATGATCACTCCTTATGGGGGGGGTAGCACGGCCCCCATTAGTAAAGTGGTATGATTCCATGCGGCTGTCTCAGTGATCTGTAAGGGAATCCCTGTCTGTTTAGTGGGGACAGAAGACTCGTGTGCTTTCTCTGTTATGCAAAAGAAAACACAAAGGAACAAGGCAGACATTACACCCCATTAGCCTATCTCACACTGGTCCTATGCGGCCCTAATGGAGCCCAGTAAGGATCCATCTTATCCCGTGTGAGGCCCAAACTTTTTAGGGGGGCTTGAGTAGTTGGAGAGATGCTGGTCTTCAAGAAAACACATTCCAAAACCACAGCTGTGTGAATCAACTCATGGCCTCAGAACAGACCTCACACATGAAGGATGTGTGCCAAACCTTCCTTGACTTCCTTAGGGTCAGCCAGTGCCAGCCAGGGCAAGGACTCTGTTCACAGCCATATGCAGGGGCCGCAGGTGGCTCCAAACAGAGGAACACCTACATTGTGGCTGGCAGGTTTCTTCCCACAACCACAAAGTGCCATCAGTTTATACTGAGAACACTCCAGTAAGCAAGGTCATTGCCCAGAACCTGGTTGTAAATGATGCCCAGAGGCTTTGCTTACAAACATCAGGCCTTGCTTGGAACAGAGCCAAAGCACACACACAAGCAAAACTACTGTCACATTGAGAAGGGGTCCCCCAGAGTCTGGTTCTGTCAAGCTGTGATGTGCCAGGAACTTGCTGTGACTTCACAAAATCAGGCTTCATCTGAGAAATAGCAGGGCAGCTTCAATCAGTGTGTCACTGTGTCCTGTGACTACAGGCATTGCTCACCCAGACACACTGAGAACTGAGGCTATCTCTTTGAATGTGCCGCTCGATGTTATTAGTCAGAGCTGTGAGGGTGCTGGATGGTCAAGAACAAGGGTCTTTTCCCTGCTGTGTGAGGAAGGAATGGACTTGGGTATCCCACCCACTGTGATAGAAAAGCCAGTTAAAGAGAATGTTGGGAGGGGAGAGGCCCTGGGATTCAGGCCATTCTGAAACTTGTCCTTTGTCTCCTACGTGCAGGTAGTGATCCTGCAAAGTCATCCCATGCCCGGGTCTCAAGGAAATCACAGGGCCCTGGGTTGGAAAGACCAGGGACAGGGGCAGGGCCTGCCCTGCCTGGGCAGCCTGAGAGCACTCACCTTCCTGCCATTCACAAAGAAGAGCAGCTGCTGGGGGTCCATGACTCCTGAGGTCCCAGCAGGTCCTGAGAAGCTCCAGCCTTGGGAGAGAGTAAGTTGCCTGAGGCTGAGGGGTATGGCTTGTCTGAGCCTCAGGCCTCTACCCATCCAGAAAGTTCTGGAAGAGTCAGTGCTGCCCAGTTCCCAACAGGAAAACTATCTTGACCCCTATCGAGTGTGCCAAGAGGGAGACACACTGAACTCTTCTGGCATCGATGGAACGGGTTGTGCACCATAGCAGCGCTGCAGACTCAGGAGAGTCCCAGTCATCGCTTTGGTAACCTGTACCAACGCTGGCTTATTGGAAGAGGCTTCCAGGTACATTGAATCCTCTCAGCTTGTTTAGGGGGAGGCCAGACTGCTGAGTCACATCCCAAGAGTCCAGTGCCCTTAACAACAAATAAATGCGTTTATTTACTTGGGAATACTTATCCACTTGCTTGAAAAAGAAGGTAACTTTTTGGTTCTCTCGTTACATTATAAAACTTGGCACATCTCAGATGAGATCAAACTCATTTTCAGACTTCATTTAACTTAGTATATCTTCCTAGATTATATTGTTCATGCAAACACATCGCCCCCTCCCCGCAAGACAGGGTTTTCTGTGTAGCCTTGGCTGTCTGGGAACTCTTTGTAGACCAGACTGGACTTGAACTCACAGATCTCTGCCTGCCTCTGCTCCCTCCTCCTGAGTGCTGGGCTACACAACATTTTCATTGTGAAAACTTGCCAAGTTTGTAAACAGAGGAGAACAACCCACACCTCAAAACTCCAGCAGGAGCTCTAGTGGTAAGCGGTTAATACTTCCTGGCTTCCTGGATATCTTCAAGCAAATTTCAGACACAGTGTTTTACCCCTAAATGCATCAGTAGACACAAAGCGTGTGTGTGTGCACACACTCTCCTTCCTTCCTTCTTCCTGCCTTCCTTCCTACTTGTTCCTTCCTTCCTTTTCTCCTTTCTGCCTGCCTTCTTCCCCCTGCCCTTCCCCCTTCCTTTCCTGCAGCAGAGACTCACTATATAGCTATGCTGGTTGGACATTTACTGGCCTTGAACTGACAGACACCTATCAGCATCGGCCTCCTGAGTGATGGGTTTAAAGGTGTGCAAGTGTGTGCCACCATACCTGGCATACATTTTCTTTTTTGAAGAATACTGCTAACAGGGGCTGGGGGATGATAGGGGTTAAGAGCTTCCAGAAATCAGGAGTAGAACAATCCTGTCTTCCTTATAAACTGCCCAGTGTTGGGAATTCTTTCTCAGCAATAGTGCAGAGAGTAGAGCTAGAATTAATTGTACCATTTCCCTGAAGCCAACACTATGGATTCTAAAATCTTAAACTAGAGGCTGGAGAGATGGCTCAATGGTTAAGAGCACTTGTTACTCTAACAAAGTTCAATTCCCAGTCCACACAGTCACCCATAACTCCAGTTACAGGGAATCTGATTTCTTTTTTTCTGATGTCCCACAGCCCCAGACATGCATATCACACATACACACACACACACACACACACACTCTCTCTCTCTCTCTCTCTCTCTCTCTCTCTCACACACACACACACACACACACACACACACACACACATGCACCCATGTGCACATACACAGGGAGTAAATAGGAAAAACAAGCTATTTGCTTTATTTTCTCCATCTACAAAAACACCAGTGTTACAGTACCAATAAAAAAGGTGGGTGTTTAATTCTTTGTCAATAACTCAGGAGTGGATTTTCAGGGATCAGACCTGAGATCTGTGAGGAGGGCTGAAAGGGAGGAGGAGGGGGCTTATGAGAAGGCAGGCTGTGGCCTCTCACCGAGGTGCACAACTCCTGACTGAACAGCAGGCTGATTCTGGGAATGCTGAAGCAAGCTGGCAACTGGAACCAACTGGTACGGTTGGGCAAATGCCATTGCTAGGGTGACGCTGACAAAAGTGTCAGTCATTAGAAAAAAAAGCCCTTTGCCCTGTGTACTATTCTCCTCTGGTGGCCCCGTCGGCAGTGTTAAAACAGATCAGCTAGCAAAGAACAGAAAATTGTCAGTCTTGGTACCATACAGAAAAGTGTCAAGTTAGAGTCGAGATGATGATGGCTGGCATGTATTAAAATGTGGAGTTTGGTTTAATGTGATTCACACTTGTAATTCTTCCTGCATTTGGAAGCCAAGGCAGGGGAATCCTGTGTTTTGAGTATCAACAAATCTCTGGTTGTGTTCATATCAGTGCATTGAAGAGTAAATAGTTCTAGACCACTTGCTATTGTTACCCAGAGTCCATACTTCCCTACTCTAGCAGCATCCGCTGGTCCACACTAGCAGATCAGTTATCACATCTCTTCTGGGGAACCAGCAAGAGGCCCAGGGCTCACACTTGCAGGTGTGTTTCTATTATTATATATGTCTGCCAGTCAGAAGAGGGAACCAACCATCATTATAGTTGAGTTGAACCTGGGGTCCTCTAGAAGAGCAACCAGTGCTCTTAATGTTTAGTCATCTCTCCAGCCTGTCTTGGAGTTTAATTCCATTCTTTCTGTGTCCCACCTCAGAGAAGGTGTGTAGGTGACTTCCGGAGTCACTTTTGTGGTACTCCAGGTGCTCCTCCCCCTTGCCTTCTCAGTTCTAGACTACAGCAAAAAATAATTATGGATTTTATCTCTTGGTTGGGTGCTAATCAAATTTTATAAGCGCCAAGCAGCATTTGACAAAGTCAGCACCAATTGGGATTTCAAAAACTCTCAAATATGACTCTTTATGCTGATGCAATCATAAGAGGTTTTTTGGCCATGACACCACCTCCTTTAGGAGATACATTTTCATAGAAATTAGGAACAAGACAAAGATGCTATTTCCATCACTAGCAAATGTTTTAAGGAAACAGACATGTGACTAGATAAGAAAAGCTTTGCATGGCTGGAGAATCATAATCAAGGAAAATAAAAACTCTTCAGCTTCATTTGCTTTGACTTTCAAAATCATTAATTTTGGCTTGAGTAATACTAGTGTAACTGTAGATGCAGCAGACTCATGTTCTACCAGAAATTCAAAGAACAGCTTATACCAATTCTTCTCAAAGTGTTCCACACAATAGAAGCAGAAGGGTCTTTGCCAAACTCTTTCTATGAGGCTTCAATAACCTTGATCCCCAAGCCACACAAAGATACAACTAAGAAAGAGAACTTCAGACCAATATCCCTCATGAACATTGATGCAAAAATACTCAAGAAAATACTGGCAAATCGGATCCAAGAACACATCAAAACAATCATTCACCACGATCAAGTAGGTTTCATCCCAGGAATGCAGGGATGGTTCAACATACGAAAATCCATCAACGTAATCCACCATATAAACAAGCTGAAAAACAAAAATCACATGATCATCTCACTAGATGCTGAAAAAGCCTTTGACAAAATCCAACACCCCTTCATGATAAAGGTCTTGGAGAGATCTGGGATAACAGGGACATACTTAAACATAATAAAAGCTATATACAGTAAACCAACAGCCAACATCAAACTAAATGGACAGAAACTCAATGCAATTCCTCTAAAATCAGGAACAAAACAAGGCTGTCCACTCTCTCCATACCTTTTCAACATGGTACTTGAAGTCCTAGCTATTGCCATACGACAACAAAGGGGGATCAAGGGGATACAAATTGGGAAGGAAGAGGTCAAACTTTCACTGTTTGCAGACGATATGATAGTTTACATCAATGACCCAAAGAACTCTACCAGGGAACTCTTACAGCTGATTAACACCTTCAGCAAAGTGGCAGGCTACAAGATCAACTCAAGAAAATCAGTGGCCCTACTATATACAGATGATAAAAGGGCTGAAAGAGAAATCAGAGAAACATCACCCTTTACAATTGCCACAAACAACATAAAATACCTTGGGGTAACGCTAACCAAACAAGTGAAAGACCTGTATCGTAAGAACTTTGAATCTTTAAAGAAAGAAATTAAAGAAGCCCTCAGAAAATGGAAAGATCTCCCATGCTCTTGGATAGGTAGGATCAATGTAGTAAAAATGGCAATCCTGCCAAAAGCAATCTACAGATTCAATGCAATCCCCATTAAAATCCCAGCACAGTTCTTCACAGACCTTGAAAGAACAATAATCAATTTTGTATGGAAAAACAAAAGACCCAGGATAGCCAAAACAACCCTGTTCAACAAGGCAACGTCCGGAGGCATCTCCATCCCTGACCTCAAGCTCTATTATAGAGCTATAGTCCTGAAAACAGCTTGGTATTGGCACAAAAATAGACAGGTAGACCAATGGAATCGAATTGAAAACCCGGGTATTAACCCACACACGTACTGAACATCTGATCTTTGACAAAGAAGCTAAAAATATACAATGGAATAAAGAAAGCATCTTCAACAAATGGTGCTGGCATAATTGGAGACTGGCATGTAGAAGAATGCAGATCGATCCATGTCTATCGCCATGCACAAAACTTAAGTCCAAATGGATCAAAGACCTCAACATAAATCCAGCCACACTGAACCTCTTAGAAGAGAAAGTGGGTGGTACCCTTGAACGAATTGGTACAGGAGACAGCTTCCTGAACATAACACCAGTAGCACAGGCAGTAAGATCAACAATTAATAAATGGGACCTACTGAAACTGAGAAGCTTCTGTAAGGCAAAGGACACAGTCAGCAAGACAAAAAGGCAGCCCACAGAATGGGAAAAATATTCACTAATCCCACATCTGACAGAGGGTTGATCTCCAAAATTTACAAAGAACTCAAGAAGCAAGTCTCCAAAACACCAAAGGACCCTATTAAAAAGTGGGCTGCAGAACTAAATAGAGAGTTTTCAATAGAGGAGTCTAAAATGGCTGAGAGGCACTTGAGAAAGTGCTCAACATCCTTAGCCATCCGGGAAATGCAAATCAAAACAACTCTCAGATACCATCTCACCCCTGTCAGAATGGCTAAAATCAAAAACACCAATGACAATTTATGCTGGAGAGGATGTGGTGAAAGGGGGACACTCCTCCATTGCTGGTGGGAGTGCCAACTGGTTCAGCCACTTTGGAAATCAGTGTGGAGATTCCTCAGAAAAATGGGAATAA